ATACCAAAATAAATACATATCTCATACTTTTAGGAGTCAAACAAACTTATGTTTGACCAAATCTACATAAAAATACAAAGATTTATAATATCAAATAATTATCATTAGATTAATCATATCATATATTTTTATACTAATTCTATTTAGAGGTACAAATGTTAATATTTTTTCTATAAATCTAGTTATACTTGAGATTTCTTTGACTTCTCGAAGCGCGCGATGTGTACTTATTTTGAAGGGAGTACAATAAGCTCATGGAATGTACTGACGTGATGTTCTAAAATACTTTCTTTGTCCCAAAATAAGTGTCGCTATGGTTTTTTTATCGGTCAAACTTTTTTAAGTTCGATTAGATTTTTAAAAATATTAGCATAATTTGTATCTCCAATTAAGTTTATTGTGAAAATAGATTCAACGATATATCCAATGATGCTAATTATGTACTATAATTATTAAAAAATTTACATATATTTGGTCAAAATTAAAAATATTTGCCTCATCAGGAATCGCGAACGACACTATATTTTGTGACGGAGGGAGTACACCAACGGTATAAAAATAAATGCATATCTTATAGTTCTAGGAGTCAAACAAACTTAAGTTTGACCAAATCAACATAAAAATACTAAGATTTATATTATCAAATAATAATCAGTAGACTAATCATATCATATATACAATACTAATCCTATTTAGAGGTACAAATGTTAATATTTTTTCTATAAATCTAGTTAAACTTGAGGTTTGTTTGACTTCTCGAAGTGCGTGATGCATACTTTTTTTTGGAACATAGGGAGTACAATGAGATCATGGATGGTACTAATGTGATGTTCTAAAATACCCCCTTTGTCCCAAAATAAGTGTCGTTATGGTTTCCTTGCCGATAATTTTTTTTAAGTTCGATTAGATTTGTAAAAAAATATTTGCAACATTTGTTTCTCCAATTAAGTTTATTATGAAAATAGATTTCTATGTCATTTTGCATTTTTCTTGACTGGTTTCTAATTTTTCATAGGTGAAATTGAAAGGTGACAGCACTACCATTTCCCTCTCCCACCCCAGGTTAGTATTTGTATTTGTTGGACGAATCTTTACTTACATGTAGCCTTGTTCTAAATTAGTCTGTATTGCTCATTTGTATGGAAGTACTATTTAGTGGTAAGGACTATTTTGTAGGTAAGTACTATTTGTAAGCATAAGTATCTTTACTTACATGTAGCCTGGTTCTAAAATTAGTCTGTATTATTGCTAGCTGCGTTAGGGAGGGTGGCGTGCTAGCTATATGTAACTAGATGCTGCTGCCAAGTATAAAAAATATTAGTAGTAGAACCTGTAGATAGTAACAAGTTCATGTGGCCACTTAAGGTCCCACAATTTATTAGAGAAATTGACAAACATCACCGTCAAAAGTCAAAACTATGAATTAAACTGTGTGGAGTCGCATGTCCGTACTAGAGTTTACTATCCTGTTGCCCATGGCCAACCAAAAGGTCTTGTTTAGATTGCAAGTTTTTTCATTCTCTCCATCACATAAATCTTTGAACACATGGAGTATTAAATGTGGATAAAAAAATAACTAATTATACAGTTTGATTGTAAATTACGAAACGAATCTTTTGAGCCTAGTTAGGCTATGATTGGACAATAATTGTCAAATACAAACGAAAGTGTTACGATGCTAAATACTGATTTTTAACTGCAATCTAAACGAGGCCCAAATAAAATATCAACCTGTATGGGTGGCATGTCCGTACTCTGTACTAGTGTGGAAAAACGTGGAAGTACTTTTTATAAAGGCAGCAACGTCATTTGCTAGTACTGCGATTATATATTCTTTAATGCGCTGGATAATCGTGGGAGCGTGAAATTTGCATTTAAATTACTCATATCTATTATTATTAAAAATAATTTATATACTCTCTCAAATCTACATTTAAATTACTCACGTGTTCGGTTGGATTAGGGGTGAAAAATTGATTGATTTTTTTCAACCTAATTCACCTTAACACATGTAAATTGAAATGGATATATGTGTACCTAAATAATAATTTAATTTATAACTATTAGCAATAGTGGATCTAAACAAGTCCTAAAATACCCAGTTCTGTATAAAAACCAACTCAAAGTAAGTATACACGTCGAGTTCCACCATGTAAACCAAGTATACATGAACAAGCAAGACATATATATTTCTTAGATTAGGATCCATGATAAACATAATCTTAATATATCACGTAACAATGACCTGTGCTCGAGGGAAGATTGGGCAAGATGGGAGAGGTAGCCACTCACTAGTTGCATTCATGGCCTTAGATAAAAGGTACAAAATTAAGGTAGCTGTCTGGGACATATCGTGGGCAAATACTGTGTATGGCCTAGTAAAATGGATTAGATTAATGGCATCGTGTTCCACCGTTTCCCCATGGCTGACTTGTAACGATTTCCCAATGGCCGACTTGTACTTAGTACCTATATGGCATTTTGTTCCACCATTTCCCTCTGCTTGACTTGTTACAATGCCTATCTGCTGACCACCTACAGGATGAAAAAGAAACTCAGCATTAGCATGTGAAAGGGCGTGGATGCAAAAACTGACACCATTAGCCTCACTGCTGATTTTAAAAATATTTAGTCATAACATAACATGCAATTCCATAAGATATCTCAGCATTAGCAGTTGTCAGAGAGATTCATCTCCAGCCAGGAAATGGGATGCTGCTCATCCATGCCAAACGATATGGTGCTTAGATACAAAAAGTATCACTACATTCTAGTGAATATACTTTATAAGAATTTTAACAATTAAATTGAACGGCATTGGTTGCATTGGAGATCATGGATTGCACTGGAGTAATAAGTAGAACAAAATGAAACAACAATAAACTATACAAAAATTTGATGAAAGAAAACCCGAAAACTAGCATACTAGCACATATCGTTGGGATTGAGTCAAGTAAAACGCTAGATAAACAGAGATCTAGGATAATAGCCCTCTTAAACTAGACTATCATTAGTTCATTACTAGATCCAATTTCCAACATACCTAGTATGTCTTAGCACATGATAATAATAGCAGTCATGTGAACAAGCGACCTTTCAAATTAATACACGTGAACAAACGATAATAAGGGTATGGATGTTACGTTTGTACATCGAGGATCGGAGAGCACTTGCTTCACCAGCCCTAGGTTGTTGTCCTGCAAGAAAAGAGAGCAGCTCATAATCAGGGATGTTAACAAATGCATCATTTTGCCAATTAAATTTTCGAATCATACAAAATCTGACACAAAGGCAGCAAGTACTTACTAACAAGGCAGTAGCTACTGTTGCAGGTAAACAGAAGATAATAGTAGAGAATGGCAACCGAAGTGGACAGAAAAATACTCACAGATTGAAATACTGCTGAATTTGCTTGGACAAATTATCTAAATCAGTGTAGCGACCATTGTTATAGCTTGTAGATAGTTCAACATAAATCTGAAAAAGGATAACAAAGAGAGATTATATAAGACCATGATGGGACCTGTTACACAAATTAAATCAAAATGTTAGCCATTTCAACTTGAAAACTTCCTAGGGATGTTCAGAAATAAATTACAATGAGCTTAAATTAGATATCTATCAGCACATTAAAATTCAGAATATCAAGTTCACCCCATCCAGAATCTCTATATGTGGTAAAACCCCACCAAGCAAAACAAAGACATAAATTGAGTGGACAGAAACAATTATAGAAGATAAAAATGGTGTAGTACGTTGAATCTATCAAAATAGAAATTTATTAACCACCCATACCCTTATCGATTGCACCTGCTTTTTGCACCAATTTTAGTTTTCCTGAACAATAAACCTAAATTAATCTAGCAAGTGGTAACAGACACAATATTAAGTTCAATGAATTCATGGAGAACTGGTTTTTAGATTGCTCAAGTTGTCCAATATAATGAAATCCACCAAGAATGTACTTTAATTAATTAATCATATTTGTATAAGGCCTATATAAACCTATAATAAATGATGTAGACTGCTAATTGAATACTATGCTAGTGAGGAAAAAGCTTTCATAACTAAACATTATGTAAAGTTTCCTGAAAATTCACTCCAGTAGGTCTGCATTAGATAGCAGTATAGAGTGCAGAGTGGTGACCAGGAAGTCCCGGCCGCCTAAGTCGCTTCACAAACCCTAGGAAAATCACTAACCAGCCAACAATAGATTGGGGTGAGAGTGCATACCGAAGTGGGGAGATTAGGTAGCGGCTGTCAAGGGGATTCCAATTTCCGAGGTGAAGGCGGCAACCGCGGAGGAGACGGTGACTTTCGAGAAGAGCGGCGTCGGCGGCAGCAGAGAATGTGGAGCTTCCATGGAGACAGAGAGAAGTGGCGGCGTAGAGCAGCTCAGGCAGCAGCCCTGGAGAGAGAGGAGCGGTGTGGTGTGTTGTTGGAAAACAATTCTATAAACCATATTGAGTGAAGCGAGTGAAGCGAGGCAAGTTTCTCAGGCAGAATTGGAAAGCGAGGCAAAACCATAGTTGACTGTGTGGGCCCCATCGACGGAAAAGGTCTGCAACTTTTGCAGCGCTAGTAAAAAAGCAGCCAATCAGCACGTTTACTTGTTGGTTTCAGCCAGGGCTTATCAGTCAGCCAACAGTGTTTTTCTCTCACAACAAACCAGCACCAGCCGGTCTTATCAATCCAGAAATCAACCAACGAACAGGCTCAATAAAAAAGAGCACAATAGACTCCACGGGTGCTCATGCGAAAGGTTTTGCATTTTAGCATCATCGTAAAAAACAACTCCACGCGAGTCGCACAAGCATCGCGTATGTACGTGGTTGCAATTGCAATATGTCCTGTTTGTTTCGCAAAAAATACAAGTTAAAAAGTATTGTTCGCTAATTTATTATAAGAGAATAACATTGTTCATTCACCGAGAAAGCATGACTCATACGCCAAGCTACCAAGCGCATCGTATCCGCTAATAACAGCTTGCGTTGCGTGCAATGGGCGCCTGCAGGATGCCGCTCCTCACGCTCACCGTCGTTGTTTTGATTCTCGCCACTGCCGGCGGCAAGCTCCCCGTGACTGCCGTCGGCGGCCACGAGCACGCGCTCGCTGATCCCACTGCTGAGCGGCACAAAAGCGTTGGTGAGTAATAACCTGTCCTTCAGTTCTCTGCCACCTGATGATCGAGCTATCACATCGATCTGTTTGTCTCGTCGTGGGCTGCGCTAACACGTACGCGCGTGCCATGGCAGCTACCGGAGCCGGAGCCTCCGCCGCCGGCGCCGTGGAAGACGACAAGGCGTACATCGTCGGGCGGCCTCTGTTCAAGGTTCCACCCAGCAGCCCGTGCCGTCGTGCCAAGTCCGCGCGCTGCTGAAAGGATTTGGATCGAGCTCCTGTCTGTCACTCAGCATATTTGCCTGGACTGCACGCCGGCCGATGAGAATTCATTAGTTCTCTCAAATTAATAGTATATATACAAATCCACTTACTCTAAATTTGCCGCCGCGCAGCGCCTAAAAGAGGATTCCTAACTTTTTACCGGGACCAGGATAATGTACAGTGAGCTTAAAATGCCACGTCAAACATGGGCGCCAAGCGAGCAAGCTCCGCCGTCGCACTGCTCCACGGCCTTGCCGTCGTCGCCGGCGAACTTGGCACCCTTGGCTGGCGCGTCGGCCTCACCGCGCCGTGCGGAGCCCCACACTGGCAGCCTCGCGGAGAAGGTGCGCGCCAGGAGGGACATATTGGGCCACCGGCCGGAGTTGCCGAGCCGGACGCTCCTTCCAGCGCGGCGCGTGGTCGTCCCGTCACCATCACCACCCGTCTGGACGCTCGCAGACCGCCGTAGGTGGCCCGCCGCGACGGCTTCCCGGAGAAGGTGGTCGGGCAGCCTCAGCGTGTAGCGCTCCGAGTCCGAGGTGGAACTGGAAGAAGGCGAGTGCGACGGCGCGACGAGCGAGTGCCCCGTGGTGTGCGAGCGCGGGAACTGCGCGGGGCGCCGGCCCGACTTGCTTCGCAGCGCGCGCTTCACGCTGCCAATCCGCATCAGCTCGGCGGCCTCCTCCCTCCTTACCCTCTGGTCCTCTGTCTCTGTCTCCCCGGAAGCGGCAGCGGCAGCCTCAGCGGCGTCGGCTTGGTCCGGCGGCGCTACAGGGACGACAGGCGGGATGACTTCCGTGGCCGGAACAGCAGCCAACGCGGCGGGGTCGAGGACGGCGCGGCAGACGGGGCACGTGACGTGCGACGCGAGCCAGGTGTCGATGCAGTCGGTGTGGAACGCGTGGGCGCACCTGGGCAGGAGCCGGAGCGTGTCGTCGTCGTCGAACTCGGTGAGGCAGACGGCGCACTCGAGCTCAGCGCCATTGCCTGCCTCCTTATGCGCCCTGACGTCGGCGTAGGCCATGGTCGGGAAGGAGTCGAGCACGGCCCGGTCGAGGCCGCGCATCCTCCTGGACGCGTAGGTGATCACGGTCCCGACCCGCCCCAGCCCCACAGGGTACTCGCCGTCGTCGTCGGGCCCGCCAAGCGGGGGCCCCGCGCATCGGCGGAGGTAGATGGAGAAGAAGCCGAGCAGGAAGAAGGCGGTGACGAGCACGACCATGACGATCGCCATGGACGGGTTGAAGTTCTTGGGGTTAAAGTAGTCCGGCCCTTTGCCCGGCTGCGCCGTCACGGAGTCCACGGCAGCGCCGGCGAGAGCCACCGCGGCGAGGAGGAGGAGACGGCGGTCATTGATCGGGCCCATGTAGCTTGCTATCTTTCTGGGGCCTGAGCGGAGGTTGTGGGGGTGAGCAGTGGCCTCTGTCCTCTCGTCTCCTTTTTCCGGTGGGAGGGAGTATTAATGGAGAGTGGAGTGGCGAGCGACCGGACCATACACGCGGGAGTGGGTCATTGGGACGACGGAAGGGAAACGGATAAAGGCCCCAGGGCGAAACACGATTTTGTATTTGTATATATATTTATTTAAGGAAATGGAAATCCGCGCGACGAGAAAAAAGGAAGACGACGTTTCTGCACGTACGCCCGCGTGCGGGCTGCAACATGTAGAAGAGAAGGCTTTGGTGCCGGAAAGGACCTTGGTGGAGACGGCGGGGCGCTCGGGTCGGGTCGGCATCCACCTTCCAGCCTGCCGTGCCTCGGGGTTGGGTCGGTCGGTTGAGACAGCGCGGACGACCGGCTTCTGCTTCTGGCGTTTTTCCTCTCCTCCGCCGGGAACGGGACCGGAAGAGGTCAGTGAGACAGTGACTGACAGTGCCAGAGTCAAGCCCGAATCGGACGACCGGAGGAGGGGCGTTTTTCCCCGACGCCGTTCGTTGGGTTGCCTAATACAGTGAAATTGAACAGTGGATAACAGTTATAAAGTCGCCCCACGCCGTTCGTTGGGTTGGGCGCAGGGAAAACCTGCCGTTGCAGTCGTCCATGCATGGCGGCACCGTGATGGCAACGGTGACTAGTACGAGCGTGAGTGCAGTGAATGAATGAATACCTTGACGCGCGGTGGATGCCATCACGGACACGTACGCACGTAAAGACAAGTGGACACCTACCACTTGCATTATATGTATTGCTGTGTACAGCACTCCTAAATATAATCATCTCGGCTCTGCGACTAAAAGTGAAATTATATTGCCGTATCCGCACGTAACAACTAGGCCAAATTAAAGGCAGGCAGGAAATGCATTGGAGCGTGGATAAGATAAAACAGAAGAGGGTTAATATCGATTGCGATTGCGGTGGAATCTCTCTCGTTGCCACGGTCTCTGTCCACGCTTTAATTTACAGGAGTACATTTTATTAGATAGTTATATAAGCGGGAGGGAGGGATAATATCGGAGTTCACGATCAATGGACCTCGTCCTTTTTTTCTAACAGCAAAGCAAAGGCTGCGTTCCCTTGATTTTTTTTCTGAGGGTCAAATCAAATCAAATGTTCTGCACCAAGAATACAGAAAAGAAAACTTAGGAAACCAATAAATTGCATGAACCTTTTTCTCTCTGATAAACCAATAAATAAATTACTCAAATTTGGCGAGGCGCTCTATCAGGCTATCTTGCTTTTTATGTAGGCATAATCACAGACTATCTATCACCTGCAGGCATGTTTCTCCTATATCATGTCACTACGGACAAAATTAAAGGTGCATGAGGCATCCTACCACAAGCACCATGTAATCTGGGCTAGCTTGCGAGTGATGAACTACTACTACCTGCAACGGAAACAAAAGGATCATGTCAGAACGGTGACCATGAGTGAGAGAAGGCGACAGAGACCGCCTCCATGGCGGCCACACGCCCCAGCGGATCTTCGCCGGCGAGCGGCTGAAAAGGTGAGTGATACAACGGTAAGTCCTCCTGGTGATGTGGATGAAAAATATGGAGGCGGAGGATGAGGACGACGGATGGAATTTCGTCGGTGACCGTAGTCGTCGGCCGGTACCCGACCCTACGGCAGACCTCCGTCCCATAGGAGCACAATCTAAATTCTGGGCTTTGGCGGATGACGATGACTCCGATGAGGAGATCGCGTCCCAGTCACCTTATACGCCGGATTTGGTGCGCCATGCAGCTGTCCATGAATTCTCCAAGGAACAGCTGTATGAGGCGGAGACGGCGTTGGAGGATTCGTCTGTTCGCCGGCGAGTAGACGAACCTGTGACTCCGGGTTCAAAAGATACAAAGGTTGTTTTGGTATGAAGAATCATGAAGGCGTTAACAGATGTTTGGCGGACGGCGATGACGCCATGGTCGGGAAAGCTACCGCGACCAAGGGTATCGCCAGTGATGACTCTTGGTGATTGTTCAGCAAGGGCTGGGCGCGGCCGACGGCCAGTCAAGGTGGGCACTCTTCTGTATTGCTCAGTCTTTGGCTCGGTCCTCCTGGTGATTGTTCAGCGAGGTTTTTCTTCTGTAAATCACAATTGTGTGATCTCTGTCAGTCTTTGGCTCGGTAATCAAAAATTACCGTTTCAGTGGCTGCCGGTAGTAGTGACCGCTGGCTTTTCAAAGAGAAAAAAAGTCAAGGTGGGCACTCTCAGAGAGGCCATACAGCAATTAGCTTCATCGTCGCCGGCGATGAGGAAGACACCAGTGGCTGCCGGCAGTAGTGACGCTGCTTTTCAAATTCAAAACCTACGTGATCTGCGTGATCCGTTTTCAGTTACTCAAAAAAAATTTCAAAACCTACGTGATCTGCGTGATCCGATTTCAGCGCCCGGCAATCTGACTCTGTCTCAGTCTGGATTGCTAGCAGGGTTAGATGGGCCTCGCGTGGAGGACCAAAGTGGGCCGTGCATGCAGTTCAGGCTGGGACGACGCAGGAGACGCCGTTGTGGCAAATTGGCAGCGCGATTCTTACTTGGCAATTACGACCTCGACACCGTTAACAAAAAACCCTAGCCGCCACTCCTTTCTCTGTCTTTCCATCGTACGTTCAGGTGCTGCGCGCAGGCATGGCGGCAGCGGGAGCAGGTGGTGTGGGGAACGCTGGTTTCGGCAGTGATGGTGGCGGTGCTGGAGGAAGGGGTTACGGAGCCGGCCGTGGTGGAGGTCGCACAGGTGGAGGTGCTGGTGCGCGTGGTGGTCGACAGGCCTAGGGCGGTGGGTACGGCTACAACCACCACAACGACGATGGCGCGCTCTTCAACGGACCTCGCTTTAATCCCAACCTCGGGGCTCATCCGCCCAACTACCGCCCGGGCTGGGATTATGAGCGGGGGCGAGGTGGTCGTTACGGCGGCAATGGTGGTCGTGGATGGAACGGTGGCTATCGGCAGGGCCGAAATTATCAACAACACCCGCAGAGGTTTCAGCGGGCGCCACCACAGGGTCCAATGCAACATCAAGCACCGGTACCTCCGCTTGTACCGAACCAGCCGGTGAACCAGCAGCAGCAGCCATCTCAACATTCGCCAGTGGTTTCAGGGACAGTACCTCAGCTCCAGCAGGTGCAACCGGGGATGGGGCAGCAACTGAGTGACAAGGGAGAGCAACGCATTATAGGAGGGGAACGTTTTCAGTACACTGAGAAAGGGTCTGTGCATCTCAGGTTTTGCAGGGTTCCTCATCGGCTTCTGGGGCAGCGGATGTGCGGGCTGAGAATTTAGAGATTGTGAAGGCCAATGTTGGTGCCGTTGATACGCAAAGGACAGCCACCATCAAAATGTGCAGGCGATGTGGAACCAAAGGTCACTTGATGTTTGAATGCACGGCAGTTGTCTTCTGTGAGATCTGTAAGAATACTGACCACGCTATGAGTCGGTGCCCGGTCCTCAAACAGCCCAAACCAGTAGCACAATTGGTTGGTCAGGCTGCCGATGCTCTTGCAAGTTTCCATATTCCACATGCACCCTTCCAGCCTTCGAAGTAAGATTCTAGAATGGCTTTGGTCTCTACTATAGGTAAGAATCTGACAGAGGAGGAAGTCGCTGCATGTTTGCGGGTATTGGTCTTTGATACTTTTGCATGGGATGTAAAACGGCATAATGCTTTTGAATTCAAGGTCCTATTCCCTACAAAGGCTGATCTTACGAAGATGACAAGGCTCAATGTGGAAATGAAGGAAGGGGTGACTCTCAAATTTGAAGAATTTAAGGAGGATGAGGAGTATTTTGGGCATGCTTTGCCAGTGGTTTGGATGCGGGAAACAAACCTACCAATGATTCTAAGGGAGTATGTTATTTTGTGGGCACTAGGAACTCTTTTTGGTGTCACCCAGGAAGTGGACATGGTCACCACAAGAGCTAGTAATTTTGGGCGGTTTGCAGTAGCAGTGCTGGAGCCCGATGCCATTCCGACAAAGCTAGATGTCATCATTGGTAATAGATATTTTCAGCTGATTTTTGAGGTTGAGCCATACTTACCAAATATTGGGCTGCGGAGCAAATGGACCACACAAAATGAAGAGAATGGAGATCATGGCAATGGTGCAGCAAGGGATATCAAGATGAAGGAGGCAGAAAATAACGGGAACACAAATATAACAGATGCAAGTGTTGGGAACACAAAAATTAATCACAAGACCGGAAGCGAAGCTCTTGAGGCACAGATGGACATGGATTTCTCGAACGACGATTTACTAGGAGAGGAAAATGAGTTATGTGATGCAGCATATAATTTTTTTGGAGTTCAAAAAGGAAATTCTGTGAATGTGAGGAATGCAGCAACGCTTACAGCTTTAGCACCGGCTCGTTTCTCCTCACAGCATACTAGGCCGGGTGGGAAGCCAGTGAGTTCAGTGTTGGCGGCTCAGACTTTTACGCAGGGCACTAGTGTGAAGAATTCAGAGACCTCGGCAGGGGCTGGCTCCATGGGACTGACCCAGCAAGCTGCAGAGATAGCGCCGGGGTCTGATATTGCTGCTAAGGGGCTGGAAGTGGAAGCACAGGCAGCAGTGGTAAATCCAAAGAAAATTCCTGATTTGGGGAAGCCGACTATGCCGGCTAGTGTGGCTGCAGCTCGGGACATGCAGAAACATACACCTCTGAGGCAGCTGTCTAGTTTCATTGGTGAGGAACATATGGAGGTCTTAGTTGGACAGTTTGATGGGGCAATAGGAGTGGCCGCAGACGGTGCACAACACCTTGGGGACCTTCTTGATGCCATGTTGGAAGCGGGAGTGGCAGCAGATGGTGAGTCAAAAAAAAGAATTGGGGAGTGTCATGAAGATGGCGGTGTTTTCTGATGGAGAGCTTACTCCAGTGCGGCGTAGCAAGCGGAATGCGGATATGGTTGATGTAGATTCTCTCGA